AGTGTTTACACTACACCAACCAGTAACATTTGATGCCATTACTTGAAGTGAATTGGCTTTATTTTAAAAAACCAAGGATGTGTAAACAGCACTGGTCAATGGGATGGTTGGTAAAGGACTACTGGGTCAGTAAGCTCCCAATGGTAAGTGTCACATTTGGGGTACCGGTCTTATACAGCGAATAGGGCTCTAAAGCTACTTTTTAAATGGAAATTTTTGGGGCCGTCTTATACACCCCGTCGCTTTGTAGGCCGAGATATACGGTATTATGAATTGTATTTGGCGAAAAGGATAAAAAAAGAAAAGCTGAATGATATTTAGGAATATTATATGAATTATATTAGGATTAACAAAATACAACATAAATTATATTAGGAGTGTTTTATTACAAAGATTACTGGTGGTTTTCTTCCAAACTCATTACCTAACAAATGACCTCACTATTTCCACCTGTTTTAGCCTTGATGCTATTGTGAGGTCACATGACATAAAATTATTTTTTAATTTTCAGGTGATTTTACAAAAAGGGCATTTTATAATGAAAAACTGGATCTGACTTCTGTGGAGGGGCTTGGTGACCTTATCCATGCAGAGACAGAGGCACAGCGTAGACAAGCACTCCGCCAGATGGAAGGAGCACTGGCTGAACTCTACACTCGTTGGAGACAAATATTGTTGTACTGTCGAGCAAGCCTAGAAGCTTATATTGATTTTAGTGAAGATGATAATATTAAGGTAAGACTTTTAGCAGCCAACTGAGTCTATATTTAGGGCTCAGTAGATGAGCAGAGCAGTACAGTTCAGTATTTCACTGGGGCACACAAGGTAAATCCTCTTGACTGTAAGGGTTAAATAAGCCTATGCATTAGTGTCGTAGTATAATTTGGGGATTTTTATTTAGGATCCTGCCTTACAGTATATAATGGAAGTAAATGGGAGTATATATACAGTACATACGTAAATATATATATGTATATATATAGTTATATATATATATATATATATATATATATACAGTCATGCGCCGGTTAACGTCCTAGATACGTTCTTGGAAACGGGACGTTAACCGAAATGGACGTTGTCCGATCATCACATAAACTTTGTATTTATACTTACGTGTATGTGGAATACTATATACGTACATATACACTTTTACTCTTAAATCACTACTGTAATGTGATACAGGTGATTAATTTTTATCTCTTGTGCAAAATACATGATGTTTATATTAAAATTTTTCACTGTTTTACAAGGATTCCAGCAACGCTGGGCAGATGGGGGAGAGGGAGGGAGGGAGGGAGCGAGCGAGCGAGGGGGCGTGGGGGGAGGGGAGCGGTTTGATAGTTGGCACAGGCCCAGGTCTAACGCGTGTATATTTATCAGTTCTTAAGTGACTAAGCCTCTCTCCTATAAAAAGCCAGTGAAATGACCTGGGTGAATATAATTTGCAGTATTACCCCACTTTACACGGTTTCACTTTCCGCGATTTCTCATTTACGCGGTACCTTGCCAGAACCGGACATTCACTTTCCGCGGTGCATATACTCATATACGCGGTGAAGTATAATTTTTTATTTATTTATTTTTTTTTTTAGCTCACAAAATTCATACAAATTACCCGGCCAGAATATAATTTACATTGCTGGAATTCTTACAATATGATGATCATTTTGAATATAAACATCATGGATTTTGCATTAGACATACAAATTTTAGATCTAATGTAATAATTTGGTTTACACAAAGCAAATATTTTATCTTTTGTGCAAAATATATGATGTTTACATTCAAAATATTCCCTGACTTGCAAGGAATCCAGAAATGTCAATTATATTATCCTAACTTTAGTCTGAGGTATTATTTATTACTAAACGTTAAAATCTAGGGTTTTCACCCAAACATTAATCAGAGAGGTAGGAGCTAGTGAGCTGGGAAGAGGGGGGGAGGGGGATTTGAGTCCAATATTTGAATGGACATAAACCTGGCGACTGTATTTCTCTTAAATATTAATTGTGTGAGCATACCATCATAAAATTTAGATGTTATTTTTACTACAACATAGGTATTGTGTCGGAAAAAGTGGAGTTTGGGGGTCGGGCCAGTCTCTATTGGAATTAATCCCATATGTTCTGTTGTTCACTTTACGCGGTTTTCACTTTCCACGGCAACTGGGTTCAATTGACCACAGAATCGGGTATACTGTGTGTATATATATATATATATATATATATATATATATATATATATATATATATATATATATATATATATATATATATATATATATATATATATATATATATATATATATATATATATATATATATATATATATATATATATATATATATATATATATATATATATATATATATATATATATATATATATATATATATATATATATATATATATATATATATATATATTTATTTATTTATTTATTTATTTATTTATTTATTTATTTATTTATTTATTTATTTATTTATTTATTTATTTATTTATTTATTTATTATTTATTTTTATTTTTTTTTTTTTTTTTTTTTTTTTTTTTTCAAGAACACGACTCATAAATTTGGGTTTGCTTCTACAGAAAAAAACTTGAGCAGTTGTGAATAATGTGTTCACTGAAGATAATCCCTCTAGCAGGTAAACCTTGATAAAACGACCAAGCTCGATACAGGAGGCCCCCGACTTACAAACGTGTGATACGAACGAGGTTAAACTTGAAATTTACAGCATTTTTTGTACCTGATGACTTATTTTTTCTTTAAGTTGCTGTATTTTGTCATTAAATTTCTTCTTGTGTCTTAAATTAAGTGATTTTAGATGTATGTAAGGACTTAGGCTATGTTATAGTGGGATTTTAATCATCATTTTGTAAGTATGGAATGCATATAGCATGTGTTTCGACTTACGTACAAATACGACTTACACACGTCCTCAAGAACGGAACCCGTTCGTAACCTAGGGATCCCCTTAGGGTACACTAATTTTGTCAAAACTCTTTCCAAAAGAGAATATGTTCATCTTCATTTTTCCTTAACAATGACCAGTTTCATGACCATATAACAGAAACTGTATTTCACCAAGAGGACGGGGCAGCAGACAACACAAGTCTCCTTTGAATATTTAAAATTTATTCTGAAATTATTTTGTATCAGGAAAGCGTGGTAGCAGAGGTTGAAAACAAAATCTGTAAACTTATCCAAGAGCTGGAACAACACCTGATGGACAATCGTCGTGGAGAAAAACTCAGAAGTGGCCTGCATATGGCTATCCTTGGTAAACCAAATGTAGGGAAGAGTAGCTTCTTGAATATTCTGACTCAAAGGCCTGCAGCCATTGTGTCTCCTATCCCAGGTGAGTAGTTGCAATGTACAAAATTAACTCATAAATTACACCTTTTCACATATACATTGAGACATTGTTATACAGTCAGCCCTTAACATACGCGGGGGTAACGTAACAGAGATACCCGTGGATGTTAAAAATCTGCGTATATGTGCTGCCCCCCCCAAAAAAGACCTGGTCCCCCCATGTCCTTATTTACCGTATATACCTGTGTGTAGTTCAAGTTTTTAAGACCAAATTATTTGGCAAAAAATTGGGGGTCGACCTCTAAGCGGGTAATACAGTAGTTTCGTTAGGTTGAAAAATATTTACCAGTAACTACTAGTAAACAATGGAAACGATGCACCAACACACCACCAGCTGTGAGTGTCGGTACAGTTGCCAGGGCAGATCTCTTGCATCATCATCGCAAGCCCAAAGTAGCCAAATCCATGGTATGGTAGCACAGGACGATGTAAAACAAAGTATTCATTTATTAAAGTTTATTTATAGGTACTGTACATAAATTTTTGTTCATTACATTTGATACATCAATCTTTGTTAATTAAATTTGAAACAAAAGAAAACTACGTTACCGTATTTTCATTAAAATATTACATCACAAGTATATTTTACCTTAACTGTGACTGAATGAATATACGTATTCTCAGAAATAAATATGGAAATATAATATTTTTGCTGGAATGACGTACATATTTCAGTCGAAAGTGGGATAAAATCATGACGAAAACAATGACTTTCGCTTTCTTTCGTTATTCAAAAGATTTTACCGTAATCGCTTTTCGAATGGTTTTCAGTTAAAAAACTGTTGTACTCGTACTGTATTACAATAATATTCTATCCTATCATTAGCCTTATAATCCCACAACTGAAAACCATTCGAAAAGCGATTACGTTAACATCTGTTGAACGAAAGAAAGAGATAGTCATTGCTTTCGTCACAATTTTATCCCACTTTCCACTGTAATATGTACATCATTTCAGCAAAAATATTACATTTCCATGTTCTCAGAAATAAATGGTAGTTTTGTTGAAACGTAATGTACAATTTTTAATATTAATATGCAAAAATAGCTATAAAAACAATTAATACACCCGTAATGTACTGGCTGGCATCTCCACTCGTCCCTGCTCCCGCGTCCAAGGTCACCACTCCTCCCAACTCGCTCCCTGCGCTCCCTCCTCCACCTCCTCACCGTCACTACTGCCGACAACGAACACAAATGTTTTGTGAATAACTGCACCTCCACTTCCTATGTACAGTACTGAACTGTACTGTGCATTTTTACAAACAATAAACATGGTGTTACGAACCCCTCCACCCAGCACCACGAGCAACGCCATCTAGGGACGAGACACGAGTATGACTCGTCTTAGTTAACACTCCGGGGTTTCCCTTCTCCATATCCTGGTTGTTGCGTCACCTCCTCAAAGTCTTCTTTGTCAGCTCCAATTCGAGGAGAGAGGACTTGGCTCTGGGAAGTGACCACAGGATCATCTATCCTCTAAACCTACGTCGCAGTGACTACCTACCGTCTTCTACAATACTCAGCCTTACTCGTCAGCCATCTCAGCTCCTCACTTAAGTACTTTTATCTTGTATTGCCTCCCCCACGTCCACTTGCTTCAAAATTGTTTATGTTGTATTAATATGTATATACTGTTAATGTTTAGGTTAAGTTTGGTTAAGGGTAATTTATAAGCTGAATATTTTGTTTAGGGATTTATGGTACTTTATTATACACAACGAAAACTCGCATCCTTTGTCTACCCTTTTATAGTCCGATTGTCTTTGTTTTTTTGTTTTTTTTGTTACCTGTTGGGATCTGGGTAGACGTATAACTATATTCTAAATCCCCAACTCGTAACAATGGCAAGAAAAGCTATTAAAAAAAAAAGAGATAAAAATTTCACTTTACTGTACAGTACCTATCCTCGGCGACAGGACGGGGGTCATCGGACTCATCGTCACTCAATTCCATAACGGGTGGTGAAGTGGGGGCGACGGTGGATTCAGCTGCTTCCTCACTGCCGCCAGTGATTGATGGTGTTAAATCTCTCCTTCGGTGATCAAAGAACATGGTGATAGGGAGTTGTCGCCTCTTTCTTTCATTTCTTCCATGATGTTTTTGTATGGAGCGAAAACGTCATCTATCCCTCACATGAATTTCAGGGCACGCACCATGGAGGGGTCCATACTATAGGCCAGGTTTTTCAGTGCCTCAATATTCCTGGTCATCTCCCCCAACTTCTCCAACTTTATTTCTTGGTGCTCTTCCTCATCCTCTTTCCCTTTCGCTTCCTCTTCCTCTTCCTTGCCTGAGTCTACTAACTCCTGTAGATCCTCCTCGCTCAGCTCAGTGTCGTGCTCTTCAATTAGCTCCCTAATCTCGTCCTCTGCCATGTCCTGGAAGCCTTCAGCAGCCACTTTCCTTGACAGTGCCAGGGTCTTTCTGAATATTTTCATTAAAATCCATCAAAATCATTTTCCTTGTCATCGTCTTAAGCACCAAACAGCTCCTCCCAGTCTTCTCCTTGAACAGGGCTAGAGGGTACGTGTTTTTCGAATCGTTTTCAATTAAAAAATGTTACAGCACATGTATATTTTACCTAAACTGTGCCTGAATGAATATATTCTCAGAAATAAATAGTAGTTTTGCTGAAACGTGATGTATTTCAATGTAAAATAGGATAAAATACATGACGAAAACAAAAGACTTTACCTAACCTTCCAATGTTCAAGAGATGTTACTCGTTTTTTTAATAGTTTTCGGTTAAAATACTGTTATATTACAATGATATTATATTCATACTGTGCTTGATATACTACATTCACGGAAATGTAATATTTTTGCTGAAATGTCGTACGTATTACAGTGGAAAGTGGGATAAAATCGTGACGAAAACAATGACTTTCGCTTTCTTTCGTTCAAAAGATGTTACCGTAATCGCTTTTCGAATGATTTTCAGTTAAAAAAACTGTTGCATCATAAGTGAATTAGGATAGAATATTATTGTAATACAACAGTTTTATAACTGAAAACCATTCGAAAAGCGATTACGGTAACATCTTTTGAATGAAAGAAAGCGAGTCATTGCTTTCGTCACTTTCCACTGTAATACTTACGTCATTTAAGCAAAATATTACATTTCCATATTCTCAGAAATAAATAGTAGTTTTGCTGAAATGTAATGCATTTCAATGTAAATTAGGATAAACTACATGAAAACAAAAGACTTTACCTAACCTTCCGATGTTCAAGATATGTTACTCGTTTTTTTAGTAGTTTTCGGTTAAAATACAGTCGGCCCTTAACATTCGCAGGGGTTAGGTAACAGATACCCGTGAATGTTAAAAATCCGTGTATTATTGCTGCCCCCCTAAAAAATCCCTGGCCCCCATGTCCTTATTTACCGTATATACCTGTGTGTAGTTCGAGTTTTTAAGACCAAATTATTTGGCAAAAATTGGGGGTCGACCTCTAAACGGGTAATAGTTTCGTTAGGTTGAAAAATATTTACCAGTAACTACCAGTAAACAATGGAAACGATGTACCAACACACCACCAGCTGTGAGTGTCGGTACAGTTGCCAGGGCAGATCTCTTGCGAGCCCAAAGTAGCCAAATCCATGGTATGGTAGCACAGGACGATGTAAAACAAAGTATTCATTTATTAAAGTTAATTTATAGATACTGGACATAAATTTTTGTTCATTACATTTGAAACATCAATCTTTGTTAATTAAATTTGAAACGAGAAAACTACGATACTGGATTTTCATTAAAATATTACATCACAAGTATATTTCACCTTAACTGTGACTGAATGAATATATTCTCGGAAATAAATATGGAAATGTAATATTTTTGCTGGAATGACTTACATATTATAGTGGGAAATGGGATAAAATCATGACGAAAGACTTTCGCTTTCTTTCGTTGTTCAAAATATTTTACCGTAATCGCTTTTCGAATGGTTTTCAGTTATAAAACTGTTGTATTACAATAATATTCTATCCTATCATTAGCCTTATAATCCCACAACTGAAAACCATTCGAAAAGCGATTACGGTAACATCCTTTGAACGAAAGAAAGAGATAGTCATTGCTTTCGTCACTTTCCACTGTAATACGTACGTCATTTCAGCAAAATATTACATTTCCATGTTCTCAGAAATAAATGGCAGTTTTGTTGAAACGTAATGTACAGTATTTAACATTAAAATGCAAAAATAGCTATAAAAACAATTAATACACCGATAATGTACTGGCTGGCATCTCCACTCGTCCCTGCTTCCGCCAGTCACCTCCTCCCCGCTCTATCCCTCCGCCTCCTCCCCGCTCTATCCCTCCGCCTCCTCCACATCATCACTACTGTTGTATTGCAATAATATTCTATCCTAATTGACTTGAATAAATACTACGATACCATATTTCTGAATATTTTCATTAAAATCCATCCAAATCATTTTCCTTGCCATCGGCAGCACCAAACAGCTTCTCCCAGTCCTCTCCTTGAACAGGGCTAGAGGGTACGTGTTTTTCGAATCGTTTTCAATTAAAAAAATGTTACATCACACGTATATTTTACCTAAACTGCGCCTGAATGAATATATTCTTGGAAATAAATAGTAATTTTGCTGAAACGTGATGTATTTCAATGTAAAATAGGATAAAATACATGACGAAAACAAAAGACTTCACCTAACCTTCCAATGTTCAAGAGATGTTACTCGTTTTTTTAATAGTTTTCGGTTAAAATACTGTTATATTACAATGATATTATATTCATACTGTGCTTGATATACTACATTCACAGAAATGAAATATTTTTGCTGAAATGACGTAAGTATTACAGTGGAATGTGGGACAAAATCGTGACGAAAACAATGACTTTCGCTTTCTTTCGTTCAAAAGATGTTACCGTAATCGCTTTTCGAATGGTTTTCAGTTAAAAACTGTTGCATCACAAGTGAATTAGGATAGAATATTATTGTAATAAAACAGT